ATGTGACACATGACGACTTGTGAATGTGACACATGACGACTTGTGAATGTGACACATGACGACTTGTGAATGTGACACATGACGACTTGTGAATGTGACACATGACGACTTGTGAATGTGACACATGACGACTTGTGAATGTGACACATGACGACTTGTGAATGTGACACATGACGACTTGTGAATGTGACACATGACGACTTGGTGATATAGTTCAACAGTTGAAACCTGCATACGATAGGTAGGTGTTACCATTTGAACATTCGCTTGTGAAAGCATATTTACCACACTGGCTGACCAGTAGACGCGATGTCCTTGAACTGTTCCACCGTTTATGTAAACGATGATACACTTCACACAAGATTCTTCCTAACACATTTCAGTTCTCATTATTATGTTCGTTTTGGCCATTAACATACGCCTGGTTCTGTGAAAGTTCACAAGAATTGCGCCCCACACAATTCCCTTAGAAGCGGCCCCACTTCTCTCTCACATAGTTGATTTCTTATTACAAGTAACCCACATTACTTGGCTCGATTTTCGACGCATAAGAATCATTAAAAACCTATTACTTATCCTCCATCTTTACGGGCATCACTATCGCATCACAGGAATGGACAGGAGGTAATATCCCCCACAGTGATTCTATCAAGTCTTTACAATTAGGTTGTCCCTTTGAACCTAGATCTTGGGATCTCCAGTCAACTAGGTTGGGTTTTCCTTTGTATTAACTTATCCATTCAAGGGCTTAAGTCCCATTCCTCTACATGATTTCTCAACTAACTTTCTATTTAACCATTTGGTTAGCGGATCCGCAATGTTATCTTTTGACTTTACATAATCAATAGTGATAACTCCAGTTGAGAGTAGTTGCCTAATGGTATTATGTCTACGACGTATATGTCTAGACTTATCATTATACATGTTGTTCTGTGCCCTTTCAATTGCCGATTGACTATCACAATATATGCAAATTGTTTGACACAGACTTTGACCATCTTGAAATATCCTCTAAGAAGTTATATAGCCACTCAGCCTCTTCATCACTTTTATCTAGAGCTATAAACTCAGATTCCATAGTGGATCTGGCTATCACTATTTGTTTAGAAGATTTCCATGATATAGCTGCACCAGCCAAAGTGAACACAAATCCACTCGTGGACTTTGAGTCTTTTATGTTGGATATCCAATTAGCATCACTATATCCTTTAATGACCGCTGGATATCTGCTATAGTGCAGTCCAAAATTATGGGTATATCTTAAGTACCTTAGTACTCTTACTATTCATTTCCAGTGATCAGCTCTTGGATTACTCGTGTATCTACTTAGTTTACTGACTGTGTAGGCTATGTCTGGTCTAGTACAGCTCATTAAGTACATTAGACTTTCGATAATTCTCGAGTATTCTACTTGAGAGATACTTTCTCCTCTGTTTTTAGACAGATGTTGATTAGTATCTATTGGTGTTCTAGCCAAGCCAGTATCATCCTTATGAAATTTTCCTAAAATTTTGTCCACATAATGTGACTGACTTAGAACAAGCTCATTTGATGTTCTTGAGATTTTCACTCCAAGTATAACTTCAGCTAAACCAATATCTTTCATGTCAAACCTCGAGTTTAACATATTTTTAGTGGATTCAATCATCTTATTGTCACTGCCAACAATAAGCATGTCGTCAACGTAAAGATATAAGATGACATATCCGTCTTTAGTGTCTTTGACGTAAACACATTTGTCATACTCGTTGATCTTAAATCCACTCTCCATCATGACACTGTCAAATTTCTCATGCCATTATTTTGGTGCTTATTTCAAGCCATACGATGACTTCACTAATTTACACACCTTTTCTTTTTCTGCCCTGGAGACGAAAACCCTTCGGGTTGTTCCATATAAATTTCTTCATCTAAGTCTCCGTTCAAGAAGGTAGTCTTAACATCCATTTGATGTACTTCAAGATTTCGCAAAGCAGCAATCGCAAGTATCATTCTAATGGACGTTATTCTCGTTACTGGAGAATATGTATCAAAGTAATCAAGGCCTTCCCGTTGT